TTCCCTGTGTTACTGTGTGTTTCTTACAGTTACTCCATGTTAGTTATTGGCGCTTCCTGTGATCCTTACTGCCCTTAGTATTGTTGTTCCAGGTGTTGGTCCCTCCTGGTCCCTTTGTTTTCCGTTACTCCCTTGATGTTCTGTTTTCTTAATAAAACCCTGTCTTGTCGGAGCTGCCACGTGGATCGTCTCTTCGTCCGTCATGCCCCACCATAATAATTTCGACCCGTTCCCCTGTCTGAAGCTGTTTCAGATTATGTATATTTTTGGCATGTCTTGCGTGAATGGCTTGCTTTAGATCACGCTGCAGCATTTCACTGTGACTGAGCTCAGGACTCTGACTCGGCCGTTCAGTCTGTTTTTAATTTACTTCTGTGCTCGGATTCATTCTCAAGTTGCATGACCCAAGTGCTTTTGAGTTCACACAGTGAGGTCACAGGCAGCCACCCTGAAATTTCCTGTTACAGCTAGGAATTGCAAAGCACTTGAAGCCATTACCCATGCTTCAGTCACGATGAGGTTTTGGTGTTGTATATATGGTAGTTTGGTTTGTTTGTCTTCCTTTGCTGTGTAGATGCACCAAAAAGTTCAACTTTGGCCTCTGTCCTCAGACTATTCTTCTAGGAGTTCTGCGGAATGTCCAGATACTTTTTAGCAAATTTGAGGCAGACGATGTGTGTGTGTGCATGTTTTTTTTAGTGCTTTAGAAATCCCTTTGTTACCTCTTCCTGTATTACGTGCTTCAACAGCTCTTTTTCTGAGGTCCTCTGAAATCTGCTTCAGGCCTTATTTAGAGAATAGAATATAAATGTTTTTAAATATAGCTGGCCAATTCAAACAACCTGTATTGATTGGAATACATGATTCTGTTTACCAACATTTGTCATTGCCATAGGGGATGGATATACATTTTTTAAATCAATGAATATTCTTTAAACCTTTTGTGCAATAAAGATATGTTGAAGTAAAACGTTGTCTTTTTGTTAAATAAGACTGACTTTAATGTTATGAAGGTCAGATATTTAGATGTTTATGATGATTTTATGTATGAATAAAAAAATATGGATTATTCCAAAGGATTTACAATGGTTTGGTTAGGATTACTTTCGATTGTTTATCTTTTTTTATACATTAGTGTAGCTTCTGTTGTCTAAAATTGACTTAATATTTTAATGTCTGCAAATAAACCAATATATTAATGTTGATGTTCAAACAGCTATGCAGTAAATGTCTGTGATAATCCTTTGATTAAATGGAAAAAGATTTCGATCCATTCATTTCATATAGAAATCTCAGGTCAGTTACCCCAGATGTTGCAACAAGAAACACAGCACATATGATATGATATTAAGTAATGTTATAGATCATTAAAAGTTATAGCAAAAAGACTATTTTTGGGGTTAGGGACCTGGGACCTACTGGGAAAACTGGGTTGGTGCTGAAAGAGGTATTGGTGTGGCCTACAGGATAGCCCATCCTGTGGTCAGTGAGGATACCATTGCCCCAGTGCAGTGACGGGGACACTGTTCTGTAAAAATTGTGCCGTCATTCATATGAGATGTAAAATATAAAAGATCCCTGGATGTCTTTTGAAAGAGTAGGGGGTGGTACCCCGATGTCCTGGCTAAAATTGCCCACTGTGGCCCTTTCAAATCTGGCCTCCTAATCATCCCCTATATCTGACTGGTGAATCCTCTCCTGCCCCTTCACCACCTTAGCTACTGTGTGGTGAGCAGGATGGCTGCTGTGGCATCATCCAGGTGGGGGCTACACAGTGCTGGTGGTGGAAGTGGCTCCCCAATGGTTCTGTAAAGCACTTTGGGTGTCTTCAAAATGCAACTTTCATCCATCCATTCATTCATTCATTCATTTAAATGGGTCTGAAAGGTTGTGAGTTTGAGTATCACCATTAATTTCTTGAGTATGGCCCCAAACTCGCTGAAAGTAAGATAAATTAAGTGCCACTGTACTATTACTATTACTATACTACACTATACTATACTATGCTATACTATACTATATACATTGCAAAAAGCCACGCCCACTGCGGCTCTCCATAGATCAGGTTTGCCACCCCTGCCTTATGTTCACTGTGATCAGTTCTGGATCGCTGCGATGTCGACCATTCAGTTACTGACGGTGGCAGTCATTAGTTACCCCGGTACATATTATTTACCTTTTGGATCAAACTGTTTAGACCAGGGGTGGGCAATCTTATCCGCAAAGGGTATGCAGGCTTTTGGAATAACCTATAGGGCTGTTCAAACCCAGGTGTGAGGACTCTTCATCCAATCAGTCATATAATTAGGGAGTTGCAGCGAAAACCCACACACACAGCAGCCCTTTCTGGATAAGATTGCCCACCCTAGGTTTAGAGCAATGGCTTTATATTACTGCACTTAAAACATGGAACACTAATGGTGGAATCTGGGAACTTTTAAAATCACTTCCTAAACTTTTGTTAGTTTTTGTTTTTTTTCTCACCTGCCCTGAGGGGTAGTCGCTTGTTGTTCCCTCTGTAGAGGATATGCCAGTGGTCCACTGGAACAAACAATTTCCTTGACAGCAGTAACAGCCACTGGCAGGATATGTGGACAGCTGGTCAATGGAGATTTTGGCAGAGCAGTAAAGCCACATCCCATTAGCTGGAGGATGCCGTCGCTATAGATCCGCACACATGCTCCAACTGGGGAAATACCTGATAGATTCTGTCACGTCCCCGTTTCCGTTCAGGCCTGACGCGTCAACATTACTTGGTCCTTGTCACGGAACTAGGGGAGTCCTCTTGCCTTTGGTCAAGGCAACAATTACATTATGGATTTTAACATTATTATCTGTGTTACCCAAAGGTAAGTCAAATGATAATCTTAAGTGTTAATGGATATGTACTTTCCCAACTAATTTTTTCTTTATTTTAATGAATATGTTGCTGTTATTGAGATACACGCACACAGACACACACACACAACATATAAACATACCAGTTCATACATTCAAAAACTATATGTCTAAACACATAAAGCCCTTACTGTAAAACATGTTTTCTGAATCCATATGCATATTCTTAATAAATTGTGTTGTAATAATATGTGTATGAACGAAGGAGTTTGTCCTATTCGTTTTAAATATTTGCAGCCGTCTGTGAAACAAACCCTGGACCAGACCCTGCGAAGTCCGTTTTAACAGATTTGCCGCCATCTAGTGGAAAAATCTCAACATTACATTGCTAAATCTTAAAAAAACAAGAATATATCATTTAATAGCTGAATATGTAATTAAGAGGACCATGTGGTGATTGTTACCTTTATCCACATCGATTAGGTGGTGAACTGCTAGTGCTCTTAACCTGTTTGTATACAGGATCAAGGACTGAAATTACTGTATGTAAAATACTGGTTTCAACCTCAGATTTCAATATATCCTATAGATTGTCATAATTCAAAAATATAGTAAAGAGTATAATGTCTTATTTTTAGTTTAGGCTTATATGAATACAGTGTGTAAAACGATATAGCTTGAAGTCGGCCTATCCGTGCTTGAAGTAAGTATATACTAGGTTCAAAAGCCCGCCTGAATGGTGGTAGAGTCCATTTTGTAGTTTGGATATGCCACAGTGATTAATTGCTGGTGCAGCATAATAAATCACACATTCCTGCCCCCCCACCCTTCCTGGCCGTTGGCTGTGGCGGGTCACGTGACAGCCACCTGTTGAGCTGATCTCATACATTGCGCGCATATGATACGCGGCGATCATACGCTCTTTAAAAGCGAGCCGCTATTCAGTTACGATCCGATAAGTTTTGATGCACTTTGGGAATCGAGGCTCACAATTCGACTTTCTTGACTGAACTGACGTACTTCCGAACGTAGGATCAGAATTGAATATCTGTGCTTTTAAAGCTGGGGTTTTCAACCGGGGGTTCACAGCCCCTCTAGGGGTCCATGAAGAAGTTTCGTAAATTGGCAAAAGGGTGGCATTATCATCTACTTTAAGCGACGTCACCTGTCATTTGATGAAGTACAACGTAATAAATCCACAGCAGCAGCTTTTACGTGAACTACGGGACTGTGTCACATACTAAAGCAGAGGTTGACAGTTATGTCCTGTCTTGATATGATAAATAAATTGAACAAGGGAAAACTAAGTCTATGTATAAATGTTTTTGTAATAATAAGCTTAGTTACACGTTCTGTAACAATTTGAGTGGGCACAAGTTACTTAGTGACTTAGCCAGTACAGATCATGAACAAATATGGTAACTGCACGGAATAAATAAAGTTTATGACTGGTTAACGATGACCTAACATATTACGTTAATTTAATACATTAAGTAACAGTGTACTGCTACATTATTTGTGCCCAGCTCAAGTAAAGTGTTGCCACATATTATTTACAAATGCTTAATCTGAAAAGCGTCCACATACCTATTAGACTCTGTTGATGAATTTAATGGCTTTACTGAGTGCTGAGCTGGAGTCGGCCCCAGCATGGAAGACACACATTCCTCCTTTCAGAGTAACAGGGACAGGCAGGGTCATCTGTTAACATGTCTGTCACAGTGTTAGGATCCCACGTGCCTCTGCATCCAGCTGAACGCGAATCCGGGTCCCACTGAGGTGTTACTCACACGCAGGAGTGCGCCAAGGCCGTCGGCACTTCAGACAGGAGCGTAAGTTTGAGAAGCTTACCCCCTCTGAAGCTCAAGCATGGCCACAAGCACTTGGCAAATCAGATTGGAGGAAACGGACCACCTCATTGTGTCTGCGTGTCCTGCCGGATTTCCTGGCGCGGGCGAGACATTCGCCGCCGTTAAAGGAAAGTGAATTTGCAAAGGAAATCTGGATGCGAAGGTTACATAGGGCTCTTGCCACCAATATCAGGGTTTAAGAAACGCCCTTTTGCCAGTGTAGGAGGTTTGTGGGTTATTATCCTCCTCCCCCAGCCTGAAACAGCCCCCCCCCCCACCATGAGTCCTGGCCATGCTGCTGTCTTCCTGCAGGTGGAGCAAGGTTGCCCAGCTGCCCTGGGGGGTCTCTGCGTGGGGGATGAGCTGGTGTCACTAAACGACCAGCCCTGTGCGGACCTCACCCTACTCGAGATCACGGCCCTTGCGGATGGCTCGACCAGCAGCCTACGGCTGCTCGTCAAAAGGTGAAGAACATGCTGCAGGGCATCTGCAGGCCAGTAGGTGGCGTAGTGACTAGGGAGCCGACCCAAAAGCTAGTTGGATCAAGTTCTAGAAAGGGTATTTCAGTTATCTCCTTCAGTTACATATCAAACCATTACAATTTCAGTAAAATCATGCAACTGTACAAGGAGTCAAAGTAGTAAGGATAAAATACTATACCAAGCCAGTGGTCATGTGGTGTATATGGTCTTTATCTGAATATGTACCCCTGGTTCTGTGTTAGAGATGAGCTTGGATTTGCATTTAGATGAGCCTGTTTTATGAGCCAGTGTAGTGTTCACCCAATGGAGTGGAACATGGGCAACGCAGAGCAGGACTGTTCATTCAACACGCAGTGACCTTTTCTTGACCAGAGAGAGAGAGGGAGAGAGAGAAAGAGGCAACTGTAGCAGGTTGGCCTGCATTGTAAAGTGAGGCTTCGAAACATTCCTTTTAGAGGCTGGTTGCATTATCCCCCCACCGCCAATAGCCAACCTGCCCATCGCCTCCTAACGCCAGCCTTGACCAGGCGTCTCATCC